AATCCCCAGGATGTCACTCTTCTATATGCCACTACACATGCCAGAATCAGAGCTCCTCAAAAGAATGAGGGTTTAGTACGGCAAGCTTGTCAGCGATTTCCAGATGGAAGCGTTCAAGACTTTTGCTCGACAATTGTAGGCTACTTGTTTATTTATTAGCGTTGAAGTCGCAGTTCCTCAGAGGCCAGTTGCCAGCTGTTCCGTGCCAGCTTTGTTCCACCAAGACGCTTGGCTGTCAATCACAGCTTCACTCTCCTCTTGCTTGCGATCGGTATAATTATTTGTACTTTTTGTATTCCCAAGTAAAGGTCAATTTTTAAGCAGCTTTGCTTCCCACTTCAGTTTGATTGAATGTTACTTCTAAATTCACAAAAAGTGCGTCTCGGCACATGAAGCAGCTCCGGGACCACACGCTTGACACACTAAAGAAGGCCAAGTGAACTTCACGTGACACTATCCCTGTGTGGCTCTTTTTTGGACCGCATGAAATTCTCTAAAACAGGCTTTACCAAATTTTGGTGAGGGTTCACTCCAAGCCTTTTGCTTTCTCTTTGGTTATTGTTGACTGTTTTTCCAAAGGAGGAGCAGACACATCAGATTATATTCTTATTAAAAGACATTTGGCCCTTTTTTTTTTTTTAACAACTTGTTGAATTTGAAATTTGAGTTCATCGTAAATAGTGACAGCCAAATATAAATACTTTGGTTCGATTTATTTTAAGAAGTACAGAACTGTCTTGGTATATTTTTACAATAGTGTTAGTTGGTAGGACGGTTTACAGGGGCGGATGGAAATTACTGACTCGCTGTGGCGACCCCTGAATAGGGACGTGCCGAAAGGAGAAGAAGTAGAAGAACAGTGTTACGTAGCTCATAAATTTGATCTCTAAGACACAAAAAGAAAGCACATACCCAAATCGGGCTCTGCCAGTAACCGGCACCGGAAGGAATTGCTTCGTTTTGTTCTGCTGAATGCCTAAGTCACTTTTCCCATTAAATGTGTCATGTTGAAACATTTAATTTATCGCATAATGGGAAATTTGTCACGTTCCAAACATGAAATACATCATGTTACAATGTGAATTTTTCTTTTTTTTTTCCGCTGTAGCAGTACGGTGCTGTGATGATTGTTGGTATGGAAACAAAATACTTGTCACATCTGTTAAAAAGGAAGGCAATTTATGAATTTGGTGCACATTTCCCTGTCAAAATGAAATTAATTCATTTAGAAAGAAACAAGAGGTAGACACACTTGAGTTGCTTTCATGGGCCACATAAAATAATGTGGGTGGTCAAATTTTTCCCGTGTATTAGATTGACCGAAGACCAGTTCGGGGTGTCGTCAACCTTTTTTTTGTTTTGCTCAACTGTGATAGGCTCCACCTCCACTGAGACCCTCAGCAGGATAATGGAAACACATTTTACTTTCCAGTCATATCTGTTAAAAAAAATAAATAAAAATGAAACAAGACAATCGATTGACGTCCTTGAATTAGAGGCCTGAGATACCTTGATCGTGACTTCTGTGCAGAATATTCTCCTATCGATTCACAAATTCTGCAGGGGTTTATCTGCAGTTTGATCTTGTAACATGTTGACGAACATCTTTTTTTTTTTTTTTAAGATCTGGATTACGATTGAAGACAACAGTCTTCCTTCTCATCTTCTGTCAGCTGAGAGTAAATATCGAGCGAACCAAGTTACCCTGATGTGGGCAGATGTTTCAATGCGCCAAAACAAACATGACAAAGACATGTGGTGGTCATACACACTCACCAGCCCGTTCTTCTTGAGGTCAGCCCACATGCTCGTTCCATCCCCTCCTCTCATCAGGACGTGGTAGGTGAAGTAGTAGATGCCGGGCAGAGGGCAGGTGAACTTGCCCGTAGTGGGCTCATAGTAGTTCCCCACATTGGTCACCACGTCATCAAACTTCAGAACCTCACTCCCTTCGTGTTGTTTCCGCAGGCCGGCATAGAATGCGATCTTGGGGGTGTACAAGGAAGGGCCGTAGCCACCAGGCCCAGGTCCCGGCGGCCCAGGTGGACCGGGTTTCCCAGGCTCTCCGGGGGGACCTTTAGGGCCCGGGGGACCAGGAAGTCCTGGGTTTCCTCTAAAACCCTGTTTGCCCCTACGGTTTGCCAAGTCTGGGGGTTGAGGGGAGGAGCCTGTCAGCTCTCCTTGAGGTGGGGTGAAAGTGTCGCACACCATCTTGCAGCTCCCCAGCATCTCGTAATGCGTGCCCCCTCCGGATGCGCCACCTTTGGTGGTGTGGACCAGTAGGGGGATGGCCACCAGCAGTACCAGGACCATGGCCACGCCGACTCCAGCCCCAATCACGCGCTTCTTGCGGCTGAGGCGGGAGGCGGCCAGCGTGAGGAAGTCCTCCTCCCCCTTGGCCGGAATGGTTGTGCCGGCCAGGCTGAACTCTGGGAGGAACGTCACCAAAGCAATATTGCAAGCGTGTGTGCTTGTGTGCGGGACTGGTAATGTCGAGGCAGACCTTTGCTTGCGTCAGTACATTTACTGTCAATCTTTTCCTCTTTATGAGACAATGTATGAGCAGTTTCAACTTCGGCACTGACAAGAGTTCCTGAATGGTTGGTGTTTTGTTCCACGGCACGACGCTCTTGTGTGCTGAGGCAGAGAGCTGTCAGGTAGGGTCTACAGTATTCCCACTGGGGTTCATCTCACCCACCACATTTGGGGGATGGCGCTCACTTGGCTGTCCACTTGAAACTGACAAATGTGCTCGTTTATTCCACCCAAATTGTTTTCTTTTTAGTTTGACTGTCTGTCACCGTTGTATGAGATCAGTCTACTATGTTGTCCTCTAGTTTTTCTTTTCAAATGGGAATCTCTTACAGTTCAGAAACACACAGATTCTGCATAACGAGGCAGCGCACGGGAAGATTTTAGTTTTAAAGACATTTTGGACATCACAGCACAGATGGTCTTCACAATCTGCAGGGGAAAAACAACAATTAAACACACATTAATACAAAGCAATAAAATGATCACTTTATATTCCAATCATTGCATATATCATATTTGTACAGGCAAGATATTTCTTGGATGTTATATTTTTTTGTGACTAAACGTTTATATTTCACTTTGAAAACGTACTCATAATCACATGAGTTGTATTTTATGTGATAGTGACTAAACGTTTAGATTTCACCTTGAAAATGTACTCATAATCACATGAGTTGTATTTTATGTGATACTAAACAGAGAACAAAATACATTTCTTTATTATTATACATATAGAATCAATGTATATGGATCTTTCGGGGTCTTCATTCACTTCAACAATTACACTCGACAAACTCAGCTCGCAAAATCTCGAAATTCAATACGAAGTGTTGTCATTTTCATAAAATTAGTCTCATTTGGATCGTGCGCTCCAATAAAGTAAAAGTAGCAGAGTTATAATGCCAAGTAAAGATAAACTCACCGTCAATGCGTCTTTGGTTTGCTTCCTCATGCTGCAGAAAGAAAAAACATCCAAAGACGATGCAAACTTATTTTCTTGCCAGTTAAAAAAAAAAGAAAAACACACTCATACATACTCAAAGACAAAAAGAAACACGACGGAAATGATGAGAAGAGTGTCACTTTAATGACACCAAGTCGCACGGAAGCGACAAGTCTTAAATTCTGACAAGTGAACTTGACGAGACTTCCGCCGCAGAGCGAGCCTGCGCCCAGAGCAACAGTTTCCTCACTTGTTGTATTTTGTGCGCGGCTCCTCTCTGCTCCCCGCAAAGCCGGCTACGACTCCCTCACTTCTTCCTCCGTACCTCCCTTCTTCTCCGCCATCACTCACACGCACGCGCGCGAGCGCACACATGCCCGCGCATACCCCCCCCACATGTGACCTTTTCCCGATTCCGGAAAGCTTAATTAGAGCTCGTCTTGACAAATAAATATGTAAAATAGTGTGACAAAAAATGCAGACTTTTTTTGATATCTTTCGCATTGTTTGATTTTTTTTTTTTTTTTTTTTTTTTAGAATAAAACATCCATCCATTGTCTGGGCCGCTTATCCTCACGAGGGTGAGTCTCCAATTCTCACTAGGTTTCAAGTTCCCAGTGACTCAGGCATCGCCGTTTCACGACCCCCAATCCCTGCTGTCCCTGGCATCTCAAGGTGCGCATGCCGTTCGTTATTTTGAACAGAATAATGAACAGATGCTGACAGTGGAGGATCATTTGTTCTATCTTTTATCTCCAAGATTCTGATAAATGTTCGATCAGTTTACAGAATTCTGGGCTTTTTCTTCGTCTACGTGCAACGATCTACTTGCGAGTAAGCAGTCAGAAAAGGCACTTTCCAAACATTCTCAGCTCTCTGTTATAAAACCTCTCAAAAGTGAGCAAATCATTGTGACATCAGTTTCTTGATGTTTTGAGGAAATATCCATGTGATCTTGACAGGAATCCTGTTCTGGATGACGGGAATCTGTTGTGTGAATCGATGCTTCTCTGAACATCTGATCACATCTGAGCTCCTTCCACGTTCGTTTGTGTGGTAGCAACTTGCAAATACATCCAAAGCCAGTTGAATTTAGGGCACAGGTGAATGTTGTTTCACACCTCAGGGAGAAAAAAACAAAACAAAACAAACAAAACAAAAAACAACAACAACAACAAAAACACGATGTGTGCATTTTAAAATACCGATGAGAACTAGCAGATTAAGACTTGGATAATCTGTGACAAAATAATGGATTGTCACTGATCAACAAAGTCATTGTACTAATATAATCTCTAATTAGAACATTGGAAGAGTGCAGAGGATATTCAGTGAGTGACGCCACATAATGACGTTTCGACGTCATGTGCATAATGAATCAGTTTGAAGAAGGCACACTCAGCTACCACCAACCTACTGTTTTTCAGTTGATTGTTTTATATTTATGTCCTGGATTTTTTTTTTTTTTCATTGAACCATTTACTGTACTTATGATTTTACTATTGCATTGGCATCGGCTAATGATAGACGACAACAGATTCAGATAAATTTGAGTCGCATCGGATTTTCATCGTAAACCACCTTGAATTCCTTGCGGGTACAAAAAACCAAATCGGAACAGTCGACAAAAATACAGGTTATAACCCGACACTTAAAAAAATAATAATTGCATGGCCAGATATCACACAAAGGGCACGAACCTACTGAACATTTAGAAAGCATCATTGTCACGTCAATGTTTTTCTTTTTATGAGCTCGGGTTTGACTTCGCCCAAATTATCAAATATTGCATAAATTTTAAGTGTGAGGTCTGAGAAAGGCACAACACGTTTTGATTTAGTTTTAAGAAGTTGAGGATTGGGAAAGCACAGTGGATCTAATGCACAGGTGTCAAAGTCAAGGCTATACGTGTGTGTGTGTGTGTGTGTGTGTGTGTGTGTGTGTGTGTGTGTGTGTGTGTGTGTGTGTGTGTGTGTGTGTGTGTGTGTGTATATTTTTTTAATGTAACACAGCTTTAACCAGCAGCTTCAAGGGTGACATCATTACAATCAATATCAATATCACAGGTGAAGGTTTACCTCTCTCAGGATTTTAATAATCAATAATGGATTGAGAAAAAACATTTATTGGCGGTCCAGTGGCAGATATAGGCTGCACTAAGGCTTTCACCTTCCTCCTGAGAAGGCCAGGTGGGAACCCTAAAAAGCTTACAAAGCTTAGTAAGATGTAGAGCTTTTGCAGGGTGACAAGATCTGGGCATGTACTGTGAGCGAGCCGAGGACATAGCACATGGAGCCAAGTTGTGAAAAGAAGATGCGTATGTTTGTGTCGCTTTCAGACCTCGTTAGAGATAAAAGATAAATCGCTGTTGACACCCACCACCACAGCGCCAACACCTTCTATCTTCCTCCCCTCTGACTTCACAGTTCATGGGAGACGTGAATAAAATAAGTGTACCTTGTCAAATAGCACATTGTTTTTATAACATCGCAGTCAACTGATCTGTGAGACACATTTGTGCCGCCACCCTATCCATCCAGCATCGGCTCAGATCAATTAAAAATGCTTCTATGGGCGCTTTTTTGCACAAGAAAGAGGGGCTCGGAGCATTTAGTCAGGCGGCAGCCCTCCAGGGTAAAATTCGGCTCGTATGTGCTGTCAGTTCTGCTCCTCATTTATTCATCTCCCAACTTTAGCGAGCAGGAGTGTCTAGCAGATATTGAATATGGATCAATAGATCACTCCCCAGGATGCGTACTGTCAGCCAGCAGCGCCCCGAGGCATGTGCCAAGCCTCCACTCACATTTGCATTGGAAGTTGCCAAAGAAGCGCGACTGGCTTAAAAGTGGCAAACTGTGTGGTCTGTATATTTTACAAAATGTGCAAATGTGAAGGAGAGAAGTGAAAATAGTCCGCCTAAGTCAGTATGTGCAAGACATATCACTACTTCTATGGGCAAACGTCTTCTTTATGCGCCTTCGTGGCCTCCATGTGAGTGCCTACATGCATACATATCCGGACGCGCACATCATTTACTCGTGACTCTGACACACCGGCGACACACACGGTGCCTCCCTGAATTCAAATGATTACTGCCAAGCAGGGAAGACAATTTAGAGAGAATGAGGTTTTTAGAGCCCTATGAAATATTAACTAAGTCGATGAATATATAACATGAGAGGTGATAATATCAGTCCTCGACAGTTTCCTCATGACATGTGATACAATATTGTGGTATACCATTCACGTATCAAATTAATTACTGCAAATGTTGGCAGGAAGAAAGAGTTTCGGGTACGTCCTTATTTTTTGACTCCTGAAATTTGACAAAATGATCGTTATTACTTGTCACTGGGATCCTTGGTTGATGCTTTATTCGCCCTTGACATTTCTGACTGTCTCAATGTCCGAGCGATGGCCGTACAAAGGAAACGGGATATATTGCTATCCAGGAGATGAGATGCTCGGTTGCAGGCTTGAGGATGGGTGTTGTTTATTTAATCACGTGAACAAAACATGCAGAGCAATAAGACACTTGACCCCATCGCGACTAGTTTCAGTTCAGTAAAATACTTGATTATTGAATTAAATATTACGAGTGTCCGTCAAATTACAGAGACGCATGCGCAATCTAATGAGCACAACTAACAACAGCAGCTGTGATATTATTATGAGCATGCTGATAAGAGAAAAAGAAGAGTAAAGGAAGAGGGGCACAGTATAACTAACACGAGCCTGGCGAAGTCTGATGACCGTAAGATTTCAAAATTAGGAAGGTTTCAAGTTTATACTTGAATAGAATAAACATTGTATTTGAATAAACAATCTTTGTCATTCGAGGGTAAAAAAGAAAAGTAAGTTAGTAGCGTATAAATCAAGTCACAGCCTGGTGGAAATGATTCACTGGACGTAGACGGGAGTACATTCGGAGCACAGACAGAAAACCATCATCTTATGTAAGAGTTTTCCACAGAATCAAATTTTCTGTGGATGTGCTACGAGTGCGGCAAGAAACAAACTGATATCCGAG